AGCATCTCAGCTTTACAAGTCTGATACAGAAAAAATGTCCTGTATCCATGGAACACACTTTTTTAAAACAAAGGTAAGTGTCAAATCGAATGTAGTGTCGTTTATATAAAATATAAATGTATATGCATCTTGGCTTGTATATTTTGCAATTTGAAATCTCAAATAATAAAATACAGAAACATAGCTGTTGAATCATTAATTCAACTGATTCATTAAAAAACAGGAATAAAAGACTTTCCCTGTTTGTGTGTTGCCTATTTGTGGCAACTGTGGTTAGTTGCGTTATTATACAGTTTTTTTCATATTCAAAAGCATCTAATATTCAGCCAAAAATAAGAGTTACTTTATATACTGAGATGACAAGTCTTCTTTCATAACAGCATGAATTGGAAACAGCACTTTTGCATGCATGTCTTTGCTTGAACATGCCAAAGTCTACTGTATTTATTTTCCAAATATATAGCAAAAGCTATTCAAGAATATGCTGCTTCAAACTCCACATTTCAAAGAGCCTTTTCCCCTTTTTACTCATATTCAAGTAGTCTCTCTAGCTCCGACAGCCACAGTCGACTCAATAGATGCACCAACTCTCTCTTCCCTGTTAGCACATAATTATCGCAGCAACTGGATTACAGCTTTTGCTCCGGAGAATATGGCGACCTGGATTAATGACACGTGAAAGCAATCTCCAGACCCCGCCGCGTCTAACCCACAAGGGCATGCTCAGCCCTACACCTAATAAACATCCCATACCAATGAGGATGCACAGTGCTGGAGCAGCTCCCTCCAGGCTGTAAATCCAACAAATTTAGTTCTCGTAGTCCAATTGCCTTCGCACAGAGAACCTGCAAGGGCTGACAGATCTGGCTGAAAGGATCTAAACATGACAAGAGCAGCCATCTAACAAGCGCGGTGATGTGTGGAACATACAAGGATGAAGAGGAAGAATTTAAAAGGTGACAAGAAAAATCGCTTTACTTTCTTGGCGCAAGATGGGTGACGGCTTCTCAGTATTGATCTGCGCCCAACGCAGAGGCTGACAGTAATTGTGTGTCTCTGTGTTGACTATAATGAATAAAATATCATGCAAAGAGTGTTATTGTGCCAAGAGGATGTCATCGCTTTCTCCGTGTGAGTAATAATGGCCCATTAGTGCAGCTGCAGGTTACTCATTACTGTGATTGTCTGGGAAATGAGGAGCTTGTGAATCTATTTGTACTCTAATTGTTGAGGGGGAGCAGAGGACCTCGGCTGTTCAGAGCACCGAATGTTTGGCCTTCCGTAGGAACAATGGGGGATTTTTCTAGGTCTCATTACATTAGTGTGAAGACCCAAAGCACAGACGGCATGAAAACTTAACACAAGTGTACACGCAAATAGACTGTTTTTATTATAGATGAGATTATGTGTGTGTTAATACATAATGCGACTGTGTTTCATCATATGCAGATGATGAATTCAGGAAAAACAAACAACTTTTTTTACACTGAGAAATGTTCTCTATGTACCCAATTTGTTTTATTGGACCCCATCTGTGGGTAAATTACATATAATAATTAAATTTCAAAATAAGTTATTCTGAATAAACAATTGATTGATAAATAACAAACTTGGTCTCGACAAAAATGCAATGTCTTTAAATGTTAGCTTAAAAGTTGTTCTTCATTTAATCAATCTATATTTTTGTAAAATATACATACAAATGATTATCATTCATTCATTCATTCATTTTCTTGTCAGCTTAGTCCCTTTATTAATCCGGGGTCGCCACAGCAGAATGAACTGCCAACTTATTCAGCAACTTTTTATGCACACACAGACACTACGGACAATTTAGCCTATCTAATTCACCTGTACCACATGCCTTTGGACTGTGGGGGAAACCGAAGCACCTGGAGGAAACCCACGCAAATGCAGGGAGAACTTGCAAACTCCACACAGAAACGCCAACAGAGCCGAGGTTCGAACCAGCAACCCAGCGACCTTCTTGCTGTGAGGCAAACGTGCTACCCACTGCGCCACTGCGTCGCCACAAATGATTATCATTTACCAAAAACATATAGGGCTGTGTGATATTGAAGCAAAATGTGGTAGAGTGTTAAATAATGCAATATTTAATATTTTTTAAAATGTAATAATTAAACATATCTTTCATATTATTTCAGGGAATAGACAGCATTACAGTTTCTAAAGATGGACAGCCATCTTTATGTTTTGCTGTTGCACACAACTAGGATTCTTCTGGTATCAAATATCCTTATCGTTATTAATTGCTTTTATATTTAATTACAACATACAGTATTAATGCAATATTGACCTGCGATGTTTTGCTTTAATGTGTACATGTTTGATACTGCATATTCAATTATTAAATATCAGCATATACAGTTGAATGATTAGCTCCCCTGAATTATTAGCCCCCTGTTTATTTCTTCCCCAATTTCTGTTTAACGGAGAGAATATTTTTTCAGCACATTTCTAAACATAATAGTTTTAATAATTCATTTCTAATAACTTTTTTATTTTATCTTTGCTGTGATGACAGAAAATAATATTTGACAAGATATTTTCAAGACACTTCTAAACAGCTTAAAGTGACATTTAAAGGCTTAACTAGGTTAACTAGGCAGGTAAGGGTAATTAGGTAAGTTATTGTTTAACGATGGTTTGTTTTGTAGACTATGGAAAAAAAAATTGGCTTAAAGGAGCTAATAATTTTGTCCCTAAAATGGTGTTTAAAAATTTTAAAACTGCTTTTATTCTGCTTTTATTATTTAGGAAATATTTAAAAAAGAAAAAAAAACAATCAAAGGGGGACTAATAATACTGACTTCAACTGTATACAGTACATACTTTACAACTAATTATAAATTTGAATAAAGTAAACAAAAACAAAAAAGTAAAAAGTAAATAAAGTAAATATCACAACCACTTTGCTCCACTGGTATGGTTTTTATGATCGATTCGAAAACATAATGAACTATCAGAAAAATGAAGTTTTTTAAACAGTGAGGATATTTTTTGTGGTCTCAAAGGTACATCTTACCTGAAAATGAAAATTCTCCTATCATTTACCCCCTTCCACTTGTTCCAACATATTTGAGTTTCTTTCTTTTTAAACACAAAGGAAAAAATAATCTGATTAATGTTTGGGGAAAATGTACTTTGTAATAGAATTTTTTCTTCCTATGGAGGTAATTGTCTGCTTTTTTCCAACATTCTTCAGAATATCTTGTTCTGTGTTCAGCAGTAAAAAAAATCTGAATCACTTGAGGGTGAAGAAATGCTAAGGAAATTTTCATTTTTGGGTGAACTATCCCTTTAACATGGCTTAATTACTGGGTAGTTTTTCATCATATATATATAGCACTATTAAAAAAAAATATATATATATATATATATATCAAACCATAAATTAAAAAATTAAAAATGTTGAAACAACTGGAACCACACATATGCAAAAACAACATTAACAACCACAACTACCATTAGTGGCCTTAATTGTGTTAAGAAGTTAAATATATAAATAATAATATAAATAATATAAAGGCAAGACGTTTCTAGCATATCTAGTAAGAGCTTGGTTACCTGGTTTACGTGTGTTTGATTAGGGTTGAAACTCTAAACTCTCCAGAACACCGGCCCTCCAGGACAGAATTTGGACACCCCTGATTTAGGCCCAATGAATTAATTTCCCAAAAATGATTTTATCTTTGTTGAAGGTCTGTACTGGCAATTTAATTCACATTCACACTATCATTTAAATGAAAGCCAATTCTGAATTCTACAACCCATTAATTATTTTGCTTGTACTTATGTGAAATTGCTATCTAATTAAAACTTTGTAAACTGCCTTTTGATCTGACAGTAGTGTCGGGCAGATAAAACACACAACTTTAACGCTTTTTTTCCTTCCTATTATGGACTAGCTGTCTTAGTGTTTTTTTTTAACTGTACACTAAGAGACTGTTTCTGTAAACATGTAAACATCATTTGTGGTGCCTTTATTCTCTGAACCTGTGTGCAGTTGGCTTAGTTAATTGCATCTCATTTCAGTAGATTGCACATTTGTGACTGCCCAGAAACTCCATTTGGTTATAATGCCAGGGGACTAGGCAAATTTAATTAGTGCTAAAATAAAAAGAGGCAGAGAGTGGTCCTGAGGAGAGGCAGGGCTATGAAAGTACGAGAAGGGAAGGTGAAAAGAAAGAGTCAGGGCTTTTTTCCGTATCAGGAGCTTTATCGTCTAACAACATAATTCAAATTGATGTGATGCCTATGGGTATACATTTTGTGAGGATTGCACCGAAATAAAAGCTTGGCAGGTCAGTAATTTATCTTAATTGTGCTGTTATATGGTTGGTCAGTTATCATAAGATTAGCATCTTTAATTAAAAACAACTGAAATAGCTTTAGCAACCCACTTTACTGGTGCAATAAGTTGTGTTAATGTTTCTAAAATAAAACAGTGTGGAAAGATTTTCAGTGTGGAAAGAAAATGGGGATTTACTGAATTCTTAAGGAATTGATTGGCTCTTTAAAATTAAAAATCGTTTCAATGTACTCTTACACATATACTGTCAGAAAAATACGTATTTATCATGCTTGATTTATGCGTACAGAAAAAAATATATAAGTACTGTATATTTGGATATCTTTATATAGTATTATATCATATTTTATATTATATATTGTTTTACACACTATATTACGAAGCATATTAATTAAAGTGCAAAATAATAGTAAATTATGCTGAGTTCACATAAAGAAAATTAAAAAGTATGCTAAAAGTATACCTCACATTGCACAGCTTCTCAAACAAGAGCAAATGTAGGATTGGGGTGCCAGTTTTGTCCTTTGAAAATTGATAGATTTGTTCAATCACTGACATTTGCTAGTGCTGCAACCTAATGTGAGTAACAGCCAGTAAATGTTATGGCATCTCAAAAGTAGCACACGTGAAAGCCAGAAGAGTGCACGTGGTGTGGCCACATAGAACAGTAGCTGCACACTGAAAAGTGCACATGCAGAGAGTTTTTCTGCAGTGCAAAACAATAACTCTGCATGTAGTACACTATGTGTGAGACCGACTAAAGCATTACAGATCTAAAGTGATGTTTTTGCCAAGGGCTTTGAAAGTTTATTATTATTATATACAGTTGAAGACAAAAGTATTAGCCCTTATTAAATTTATTTTCTTTTTCAAATATTTCCCAAATCATGTTTACCACAGCAAAGGACATTTTCGCAGTGTTTCCATTAATATTTTTCCTTGTGGAGAAAGTCTTATTTGTTTTATTTCAGCTAGAATGAAAGCAGTTTGTAATATTTTTAAACCATTAAAGGCCAATATATTAACCTCCGTAAGCAATATGTATTTTTTCATTGTCCACAGAACAAACCATCATTACACAATGATGCCTAATTACCCTAACTTGCCCAACTAATCAAATTAAACTAGTTAAGCCTTTTAATCACACTTCAAGCTGAATACTAGTATCTTGAAAAATATCTAGTGAAATATTATGTGTTATGTCATCATCATGGCATAATTAAGTTATTAAAACTATTATGTTTAGAAATGTGTTGGAAAAAAATATTCTTTCTGTTAAACAGAAATTAGGGAATAAATATACAAGAAAAGGAAAGTCCTTTGGAGGAAAATCAACCCTAGGTGGAGGAGTTTAAGTATCTCTGGGTTTTGTTCACGAGTAAGGGAAGCATGGAACGTGAGATTGACAGGCAGATTGTGCTGCGGCAGCAGTAATGCGGTTGATGTACCGGTCCGTTGAGGTGAAGAAGGAGCTGAGCCGAAAGGCAAAACTCTCGATTTACCAGTCAATCTACGTTCCTACTCTTACCTATGGTCATGAGCTTTGGGTTATGACTGAAAGGACCACATCTCAGATACAAGCGGCCGAAATAAGTTTTCTTAAAAGGGTGGCAGGGCGTACTCTTAAGGATAGGGTGAGGAGCTCTGACACACAGGAGGAGCTCGTAGTAGAGCTGCTGCTCCTCCACATCGAGAAAAGCCAGCTGAGGTGGCTCGGGCATCTGTTTCGGATGCCTCCTGGACGCTTACCTAGGGAGGTGTTCCAGGCATGTCCCACCGGGAGGAGGCCTCAGGGAAGACCCAGGACACGCTGGAGGGACTATGTCTCTCGGCTGGCCTGGGAACGCATCGGGATCCCCCCGGAGAAGCTGGAGGAAGTGTCTGGGTAGAGGGAAGTCTGGGGTTCTTTCCTAAGACTGTTGCCTCCGCGACCCGGCTCCAGCAAAAGCGGAAGAAAATGAATAAATTAATAAAATATAGACTAAGTCTAATAATTCAGGAGGCCTAATGTTACCTTAACTGTATACACTATTTTAAAGATCATAAGGGCACATACAAATATAAAAATCTGCTAAAAATACAGAATTGTCCAGTTCTATATCATGGTAACTTAAATAAAGTAGAAGTGTTCAGTTTTGGTTCGGACTTGCTCAGCAAGACTCTCAGACTCTTGCTTTGTTTTGACAGGTTTGAACTGCAAGAGAAAAGCCGGATCGTAGAAGAAGATGCTCAACCCAGAATGAGAGACGCACGAAGAGAAGCCTTTCTCCCTGAAGAGTTCGCTTCAGCTCTCTCTACCCATCCACTCTAACAGTGTTGATGATCCACTCTGACATGACTGACCTTTCCAGGTCCTGCAATGTGCCCGCACTCTTCTGTGCCAGGCTGAAAAGGCCACACCATGCCTGAGAAACCAGGCTGCTACATTACCAGAACCACTTCAGCGGGCTCACAATAACAAACAAACTGCACAATCTTTTTGCACTACTGCGTTAATTTTAGATTATTAGATTATGGAATACAGTGTAGAGTACAGCAATGAATGTGACATCCAAACAGCATAAAATTAGGGCTAAAGCCACGTCCGTGCACAGAGTGATCCATCTTAACTGAAATAAACAGAGCTGGGTATCAGGATGAAATTTTCATACAGTCACCACTTAGCACATGCGGTTCAGAGAGCACTGCGCCTGTTGTCAGAAGAGATTTATTTGCGTCTCCTGGTGTGTCTTTAGAGAAGCAATGCGTAGCAGCATTTGGAAAGCACAGAGAGAGCGAGCGATGGATTTATGTTTCATTTGGGCTTGGGTTCTCTGTCGCATACAGACTGCGAACTCCCAGAGCTGGCTGATTCTGCAGAGATGAATCATATAGCTGTGGTCTTGCAGTTTCAGGGTACCAATGTGAATTTCTTTTTATCCAGTGAACGTTTCCCCTCTGAAACTTCCTTATATGTAGTTTTCTGCTGTTCGGCACATTCAGGATTTAATGTGTTTACTCCAAAAAGAGCATTTTGTTTCATTAAAACACACTGAACCATGTCGATACGACTAAATAAATAATAAATATAAAAGGAGTGAGATTAATTAACTCAGATCCATTTGCTTGGCAACTGTTAAAAATGAGTGACTGCCAAAACTGAGTTTGCATGATAACTGAGCAAAACTGACACGGTCACAGCCAGTTGTGTCAAACGTAATTCATGGACTAACATTAGATCAGCAAGCATAACCGAGGATGACGACCAAGCTATTTTACATGCGTTTACGAGAGCAGAATGCACAGGCACTAAAAACACATATGTTGTTTATTCAAAGGCACTTATAAAAGTGAAAGTCTGCATATTCCCAGCATATTAAGCCATCATTATACTTAGTAAACAACAAAAATAACTTTTTAATGGCTTGCTTGTCCAGACTGGCACTGTCAGATTTATAGATGGGAATGCTGGACGGCTCGGCTGGGCTTTATGATACCTCATTTAAAGTTCATTACAGCGCAGCCTCTCTGTCATTTAAAGGGAATACAGAATGAGAGAAAGCAAGCTGTGGTCAGATGCTGTGGAAAATAGCATTTCAGGCTTGACATTTACTCATTTTGACTGGTTATCTCTTTGTTTAACGTGTTTGCCATAAACCGTGCTGGGTGATAAGTAATAATATCACTGTCACATTCATAATATCACTGAGTGTCAGAGAGAAGCCACAGGCAATGAAAACCCTAATTATACAGTCTTTTCTGGCAGGGTAAATGTATCTATTTAAAATCGCATGTGAAGTATATTCATCTGTACAGACTAATGTTAGGCTGAAAATACCTTCTGAACTGTGAGACAGTCTAAAGAGAAAATTACTAAGAGTCATGGCACATGCAGCAAAATTCGAAAAGCACACACTGTATTCTCCATCAAACTAACTGTTGTATTGATTAATCGGCTTCTGAGGTTGAAATCATTTCTCATTCAGCTGGTTCAGAATTAGTAACACATCGCTATATGTCAGAGGAAAAAGTTCACCTTTAAGTAATTAGTTTCAGGGAGCTTTTTTATATGTGAATGCTCCAGTTAACTGACATATCTGAAGGGGTCCGAGTTTATTGTCAATTAGGCATGGGATGATAACCGTTTTCAAGGTCGCTGTTTGAAAAAGTCAAGGTATTAACACTGCCAAACTTTTCTGTAATACCGTTATGTGTAAGATTTTTTTATATACGTTTTGTTTTAGGTTTTTTAGGACAACAGTATCTCCAGCAGAAAAGATCTCCAAAAATGCTGTTTTAGATTGTAATGAAATCTGTGTTTTTGAAGCTTATAAAGACAGCAGAAGTTAATGATTTTTATAAATATATTTAGCCTGACGTGTTTACTGCTCAAATTTTAAAATATTTGCAAAGTTTCTCAAAATAAAATGTATTTTGTTCAAAGGGGAAAAAAGTTTACAATTAAAAAGAGTATATTTTAGAGCAGTATTCACAGTACCGTAAATCCATGATATTTTTATCCCAGGTTCTCATATCATCAGAATCTTATATACCGGCCCATGCCTATTGGCAACACAATAAGCTTTATTATTTCAAACTAATATTAACCTAATTGATTGCCAAAGCAATAAGACATAATCACAAAATAGATTAAAATTAGATCAAGGGTCTGAAAGATCAAAGTCCAGGGACATTGTGAATGAAAAAAAACAGCTAGATTCACTTTAGGGTGACATAAAAATGTTGTTTAATAGGCTCAATCTATATTGCTCTGTGACTTTAGAATATGATTTTGTAAGATAACACAATTTAATTGCTTTCTATTTGAAAATTAAACAAAAAGAATATTTGTTTTGCTATTTTCTATTCATTATGAAGTGTAATAGTTATTGATAAAGTACACTACTCTTTTGAGTGTACACTATAAAAATTATTTTAGGTAAATACAAATAGTTCTATTTTACCTCAAAATGTCACGTTTGATTCAATCTGTGACATGCCATTACTTTATTAATGTTTGTAAAAATGTATAACATTTACAGAGTGTACACTAAACATCTTAAATAGGCAATGAAAAGTTTGGGAGAGTATATCTTTTTATTACTCAAATCGTCAAGTTTGATCAAATGCATTCATTTAATTTACTAGCAATTTAAGAAACACCTTTCAGTGTGTGATCATTTTCTTATATTTAACGTTTTCATTATTGTTGTCATTACTATTCATAATGAGTTTTACCCCACTTCCCTGAGTGTAAATGGCAGTTTGGTCAACAAAGCCGTCAGAGTGGACTCGAGTGTGAAAACACCCTCAGTCTACATTTTACACTTCATCATTACCTTCATTAGAAGCAACAGAGCGGCAAATGAATTCTCCAAATTAGTTTATGAGAAAAGGGGGATAGAGAGAGAGGGGGTGAGGGAGAAAAAGAGGGAGGGAGGTTACCTCTTGCGCTTTGGAGGCTGCCTTTTGTCCATAATCACCGGCACGCAGTTGGTCAGTTCCGTCCAGTCCGCGTGCAGCCCGCAGCTCCAGCCCGTGGAAAACCTCGAGAAGAGCCAGGACTCCTGCTTACCCGGCCGGTGGCACGTGCATTTCTTCTGTCCCGCTTTGCAGTCGCACGGCTGCTCCAAGCGAATATTCCTGACCAGGTGCCTGCCAAATGTGGTCCCTCCCGTCTTCTGAATGTGCAGAAACACAATCACATCGTCTCCCTTGATGTTGAAATCTACATCGCGCGTCAGGTCGCGTTCCGTAAAGTTGAATTTGGATGCGCATTTAGGCGGGTTGTCTTCCTCCGGGTCCTGCTCTCGGTACAGGTCGTCGGTGGTTGGGTCCGGGGTGGCCAGAGGAGCGATCCTCACGAGTTTGTCTCCAGTCCTGAAATGACAAGCCTGACCGCCTGCCGGACAAACATACTGGTACCCAATCATGACAAAAAGAATGGCTAAAATTGGGATAAAAATCCATTTGTTGGGTTTATCATTCATTTTAGCACAAGGAAATTCTTCTTGCAGTTAATCTGAATCATGACCTCCTCTCCGGGTCTCGTTCCAGAACGATCGCGTGAGAAACAGCCCAAAAGCCCCATGCCACATGTTGATATATTAAAAAAGAGGAGTGTGACATCCAGGTCTTCACGTCAAAACTTGCTCTCTCGCAAAGTTGTAAAGAAAGTGCAAAACAAGAAGCATGACAAAATGCACAACCAAATGCTGTTCAAGAACTGAACATCGTGGTCATATAAGCTATAAGACGTCAAAATACTAAGGTTAATGAATTGATTTGAAGCGTCTAGGCGTGCTTTGCTCTGCGGAGTGTCCACACTCTGGATGAGTCTGTGCTCTTCGGCCATCCCGCCGCGGCGCGCATCAGCGGGAGGACGCCAGTGATGTCAATGAGACGCGAGCGCTCAATGAAGAGACACTGTCGCGCCGGTGGAGCACGAGCTCTTTCGTAGCACGAGAACAGTTTTATCTGCACCTGGTCCCAGTCCAGCGCTCTGGTATATTTAGCAATGAAGTGTCGCCACTACTGAGAGAATGCACGGTGTGCGTGTTATTACGTTCTTCACGGCTTTTTGCACTGTGCAATTTTTGTGCCACTTCACTTGGGGAAAATTCCAAAAGGTTGTAATTAATAGATCATTTCGGTTATCATCGGAGTCAATATCATATTGGGTTGAGTTAAGTAATTTAGGATCTAAATAATTAGGTTAGGATTTTTTATGCTGCTCATTTTATGCATAACTGAATGCAGAAAATGTATAATATAATAAAAAATATATAACAATATAATATGAGCATATGATATAGCCTTATGTTATATTATATTATATTATATTATATTATATTATATTATATTATATTATATTATATTATATTATATTACGTTTTAATAAGTTATTGTTGCTCATTTCTAGAATTTTTCTAAATGGCTGCACTACAAGACAACAAACAAGGGTCCAGAATGTTGGAAAAAAGTCATGACAAAAATGTAAAAATGCATTTTAAAAAATGTAATAACTGGAAAAGAATATTTGATCGGTTTACAATATACTGATGGCCTGTTTTTCAAATATTAATTGGTGATAATGGTCAGAAATGTTGGACCATTATTGTTTTTTTTTAGCATATAAGTAGAGTTACTCTTTCACAAAAACCTAAATAAACACTTGCTTACAGATACTTTTGGAGATTAATTTATATTATAATAAAAGTTAATAAAATGAAAACAGGAAATTATTATTAAATAAAGAACTCCATAAACAAATCATATTGAGAAGATTGCCATTTTGTTTTATTTACTTTACCATTCTCCCCTTCTTTTCTAATGTGTTTAATGATTATTGCAATAAGTTTTTGGGGGGGGGGGGGGGGGGTCTTCCACTCTTCCTTTATGTAGCGCCCCCTTTGGTTTATTCTGTGTCACCATAAAGTTGCTAAATAATTTCATACAACTTCTGAGTGTGTGTGCAGATTTTTTTTTTTATTATTGAAAGTCTAGTAATGTACAACAACTTGGCATTATCAGTACACCTCTACATTACAAGAAAAGGAAACAGGTGCAAAAAAAAGAACAAATAAAATGTTACATAAAATACTTTTAAGAAAAATAATATACATAATTAAATCTTAAAAAAAAAACTAAATAGATAAAAAAATTGATAAATGAAAAGAACTAGGAGTTTTGCTGTAATTTATATTTTTCTATCAAAGACGACTAATTGCACTTTTCGTTAAGATTATGATCATTATCTTATTTGAAACTTCTATAGCTAATTCAAAAAGGTCAACATATTGATAAATATGTTATGGTGGCTGTTTTAGCGTTGAGTATTTAGAATTGCCTCTTGTAATAGTTCTAAAATAGTTTGATAACAAGCAGGAAATGTTCATAGGCCATCACCACATCGAAATGGTCTATTCGTGACATGTTTAAAGTAATAAATTAAATAGGCCTAAATGACCTTTTATTAGGGCAATGAATTCTATATGAAAAAAATTCAAACAGAAAAGATCCATTTCAGAGCAGCATAGAGAAATATAAGCTATATAATACAAAGATCATAAATGCAATATGATGTTGATCTAGCACCAGTTGCAATATTTCTGTATAACATTAAATAAACTATTCAACTTTTTAAAATATAAATGTGTATGTTGTTCACATATATGTTTTACTTTTAGACATATGACATAAAACAAGCAAAATTATACATTTAAACAGCAATTTCACTTCCAAAAATATATTTTAAGAATGGCACTAACTCAGTGTTTCTCATCCACGTTCCTGGTTCCTTAGATTTCTCTTTTGTCTGTCACACCATCACAGGTCTTCAGTCTCTGTTAATGAGCTGATGATCTGCATCAGGTGTTTTGGGTTAGGGAGACATGGAAAATGTTCAGAGCTGGTGGTCCTCCAGGAAAGTTGTTGAGAAACAATTCATAGGCTTATATCGTACATTATAAATTGATGCCAAATTTGTGAATAATTTAAACAAAAAATATTATGTATTCTAACTCTGCAGGGTTAAATAATTATAATATATATTGGATTTTAGTAAAGCCAACTGAACACTTCATAGCATTAGCATGTGGATGCAGGAGCTTTACAGTTACTTCACTGCATTAGTAACACTAGTTGTCCATAAACATGCCTGAGAAACCTCCGTCCGTGTACATTTTCTAAAACATATTAATGCTCTATAAGATTTCACTGCTATTCATGAGTTGAACTTTATGTAAAATTTCAGTCCTACCAGTAGCTGATGTAAGAAGCTTTTCCAGAAAAGCGTAAACAACGCGTCGCTTTTCCATATGTGGAAGAGGGAATTAAAGATGCAGGACCCCTCAATGGCGGCGTCCTGTGAAACCGGGTAACACAATCAGCGGCGCAGAGACAGATGATTTAGGTGTGTTTTAAACATATTCACAGTTAATATCACAGAATCAGGATGCGATGTATTCCCGTTGAATAACATAGTGTGTTTGGTCCAGATAGAAAGCTAAAAGAAGTTGAACATTTTGTGTGCTACGTGTCTCTTCTTCCCAATCTTATATTTCTTCATTTGCAAGACAGTTTCAGATTTGTTTATCATGTTTGCATGAAATCCGTGAGACGGAAAGCGATGTTAATGTCACTAAAAGCACAAGAGTGGAATTATGCGACACAAAATGTTACATTATAGCTACGTGGCGTTTTATTAGACAGTGTATACCTGCTGTGTCGTTTTACCCCTGACGCGTCAATGAGGTAAACCTCTTCACTGAATGTAGAAGTCGTTTTCTGTTGATACGTGTTATTTTTATAGTTACACTGTTATCCTGGAATAAGCAAGATTTTAGGTAAACTGATAGTTCGCCCAAAAGTGGCTCAATTGGTCCAAAACTTATGACTTTATCTTTTGTTTAACACAAAACAAGATGATTTGAAAAATGTTAGAAATCTCTAACTTGACTTCTATAGCGGAAAAACAAAAACCATGGAAGTCAATGGTTACAGGTTTCCAAAATTGTTCAAAATATTTCCTTTTTTGTTTACAATAAGAAAGAACCTCAGAACAAGTGAATCGTGTAAATGATCACAATATTTTGGGTGAACTATCCCTTTAACATATCATATTGGGGGCTGTGATCACAAATTATAGAGTTTATTGATTTGAAAACAGTAGAATTGCTTGAAATATAAAACAATGTCTCAGACGGATAAAAAAAACAGCCTGTTTTAAAATATATTTAAGCTAGGCCATAAGTTTAAACAGTAAAATTGTTCTGAATGTCAAAACAATTAACAGGCTAATTGTAGTTCATTTGAAAATGTCACATCTTTTACGCTATAAAAACTTTTACAGTACATAGCTAATGTTTATTAAAGATGAAGAACTACCATCATGCCTTGCTTATCAGAGTAAAATGGCTGTTTAGCGTATTTTCCTGAAGTGCTATGTTTTTAATTTAAATGGAAATGTTTTATTTTAGAATTTCTGGTAACTAGTGATTATTTGAAATGTTTTGAAATTATTTTGAAACTTAGTTAAAAATTCCTTCAGACAAAATATGATGATTTTTGACATCTTAAACACATGCAAATGATTCATCAGTGAATAGCTTAACAAAACATCTTGATGTTACTTATGTTTTTTATTGTTGATTTATTTGTTGTTGTTTTTTACAGCATCCAATCATGAGGCTGGTTTTTGTTGTGCTGGTTTTTCTGAGGGTCCAGCATGTGAACTCAGCATCTAAGGGAATCGTCGCCAGTCTTCAAGCCAAATGGGCTGCGACCCCTCTCCTACTGGAAACAAGGTGGGCTGCTATCATAATAGGCTCGTTTGACTTGGCCAAAATCTGCGCAGAATCGATTACCGGTGATCACCGCAAGATGCATGCCGGTTAGAAATGTGTCCGCCTTGCCTTCGCCTCGCTCTGATTTCACGCTGACGTGCGCCAAAAAACTCTCGCGATCGCGAGGCGGGTACCTCGGATAGAGCAGTCGGCCGCAGTTGTTCTCAAAAGACTGCGTTACCAAAAGCATGATGGGAAACGACTGGCTGACGACACAGCTTAATGCTGATTGGATGAGACTGACACATTACACTTTATTATCTTGTTTAACTAAGGTTTATACCTGGATTTGTTGAATACCTTTTTTTGTATTTTCGTTGATAATTAAAAAAAAGTCATATAGAGCATTACATATGGTTATTTATTTAGATTTACACGGAAACAAAAACAAAACACATCTTTGTAAAACATAACGTGACCTATCCAATATAACTAAATGTTACTTATAAATCATTAGGATGTGTGTGTGCTGTATTTTATTTCTCTCTCAGTTTTAAGTCCTGTTTGTTGTCATTTTCACTTTTTTGGTGGCGCAGTGGGTTGCACAATCACCTCACAGCAAGAAGGTCACTGGTTCGAGGCCCAGCTGGGTCATTTGGCATTTCTGTCGGGAGTTTGCATGTTCTCCCCCTGCTTACATTGGT